CGCCCTGTCAGCTGCCTCAACCACTGTCCTGTAAGCCACTGGAACTCTGGCCTTCAGTAAGGTGTAGGTTATTGGAAACGTTCCATTTTCAGACTCACATGAAACTCTGAATGGTTTACCAACAATCACCTTATTAACAGCACGAAGGACTGGGGCAGAAACAGGCACTGGGAAAGAGAAGAGGAAAAATGAGAAGCATGCACAAAAGAAAATGCGCTCTTGCAGTGCACCATATCAATTGAAAAATCTATTTGTGTCGATTCTACACTCTCGAAAATAAAGGTTCTTTATTGACATCTATGGTTTCATGAAGAACCTTCAACATCCATGGAATTTTTCCATTCCACAAAAGATTTGTTATAGTGGAAAAAGGTTCTTTAGATTTTTGAATGTTCTTCAGACTACGAAAAAAAAATAAAAAATGGTTGATTTAAGAACTGTTCCCTGAAAGTTTCTTTCGGGAACCCAACATGGTTCTTCAAATGCATCACTACAAAAATCACCTTATTTTTAAGAGTTTAGAGTATTGGCACTATTGGGAGCAACTATATTGCTAGTTTATCAAACAGCTTTTGTTATTACTGTATTATAACATGTTATAACATAGATTTAACAAAAATGCTATGTTATAGCAGTCAGTTAGTAATATGGATAATATATGCATGTCCCCGAGTGACAGAGCTTTGACAAAAGCAGAAACTCATCACCTTTAGCCTTTAAAATAAATGGTAAGCTGGTCTTGTTAACTTCTTTAGCCATGGCCATACAGTAGTAGTTCCCATTGGTGGCCAGGCTTGCAGTGTCATCGTATTTGGCAACTGCTGCAATGCGTCGGCCATCTTTCAGCAAAACATACTTTATGTCTGCTTTTCCGATCTTCACTGAGGAGATTACAGTACTGCTGCAGGTCAGAGTGAAGCGTTCTCCTTCAAAAAGCTGGTCTGGGCTCATTCTCAAAATTGGCTTCGAGAACAGTTCTGATGGTTTCAGAAAAAAATATTTAATTATCATGCAGTCCAGGGTTATTGTAGTTAACTAAATCTAAAATTGAAGCCATAAAAACCTGTGTTACTTGAAATAATAATACAAAATTAAATCAAAACAGACAATATAAAAATTAAACCTAATTCAAAATATTATTCAAAATAGTATCTCTGTGATACTAAAACAACACGTATGCAGTGTATTTTACATTAGTAACTAGTGTATAATGCATCATACTTTCTTGAAAAAATATAGAAATAAATGATAAACAAATAAGAACAAAATCTACAAGCACAGAACAATGTGCAAAAAATCTGTAAAAATTAAAAGATAAATAACTCAGTTTTCATTTCTTAATGGTGAAAATGTATCTTGATATTCCACTCTAACTACAATTTTAACACAGAACTGTCATTATTAAAATAAAACTTCTTTTAATGCAATAATAATGACAAAAATCAAACAATGTCATATGGAGCTGACAGTACACTCATTGATAGCTGAAAGCATTTTAATATTAGTCAAAATGTTAAGTAAAAAACACACAAATGGTTGGTGATGTGTACAATCTGAATGACGAACATTTGAATTGTGTGGAAATCTGATGCACATTTCTCTTTTAAAATCTTGGTGGTTATTTACCTGCAACATTTAGCCAATAGACTGCCTTCTTTTGCACGCTGCCTTTCTCTGCTTTACACACATAGTCCCCTGAATCCTCGGCTCTTACTACGAGGCTGTATGTGAAGGTTGTATGAGATTCACGAAGAAGGGTGTTGCCTTTGGTGAGGTACAGCTCAAGATCTGAGTTACGTTTCACCTTACATGTGATCTGCAACCTGTCACCCTCAACAACATTCGCTTTGGGGGAGATGTTTATTTGTGGGGTGATCACATCAAGATCTGTAAAAAAGAAAGTCCATCTCACTGTTATATCATCAAATGTGCATATATATGCTCTATAATGACCCCATGAAATGGCTTGATTAGCAGTTTCCCCCCCATGTGTTGCTGTGTTTCTTAACATATCATATTGGGGGAGAGACATTCTCTCTCAAGGGAACATTTTTTGGACAAAAATGTGCATAAATCCATGAGTGAATGAATTTTTGTATTTTTTTCCCCCCAAAGTGAGCACAAATGGTGTTCTTTAAATGTTATTAGCAGGTTTCAAGTAACTTGAATAGGCTTTTACCTTGTACAATAACTTTCACCATGTTGCTTTTGTTGGAATGTCCTGCGTTGCGTTGCATCATAACCATATAGTCACAATGCAGGTAGATGTCTGTGAGCTTCTGCATGGTCAGAGTGGTTGTCACAGAGTTGCTGGCACTAACGACTCTCTTGACCTCCTGATCGTCCTCGTAGAAGTAGAACATCAGACTGCCCGTCTCCTCTGATGCACTGCATGTGGCAATAATGTCTTCCCCCTCAGACACGATGTCAGACTTCACCTTCAGCATAGGGATTTGAAGGCCTGTAAGGGTTTAAAGACTTTCTAAACCACTGAATATAATCTGCTACGCTGCTGCTGCGGCAGAGCAAGTACCGAGACTTGCT